AACGGAGCGAGGCCGGTGGAGTGATTGCTAATGAGGGACACCTGCACCTTAAGAACTACGTTACATATATATTTAAGAAATATTTACATGTAATATATATGTTATTTTCTACATAAATATAAATATATATTACATATATTTCTTAAATATATACATGTATGTGTGTGTGTATTTATAAATACGTATAAATATACACAGTACACACACATATATTATCTAAACACAAACTTTTATTTTTGATGCAATTTATCGATTTGACAGCACTATTTAAATTGCAATAAACCATAAAAAAAATACCAACCCTAAACTTTTCAATGGTACTGCATTTATTAGTACTATTACAGAAAAAAAAATTAACTGTCACAATTATTTTTTAATTATTCATTACAAAGAACTATACAAAAGTATCAAGTTTGATTGGGAATTTCCAAAAGCAGGACAACCCCACTGATGTTTAAGCACAAAAGGATGCAGCCATACGCTGAGGGGGAAAAAGGACCATGTTCGTGTTAGCCTGACAGTGATTTCTGGAAGGAAACTTCATTTACATCACTCACAGTTGACTGTTGAGGTTGCCGTTCAGTCAAACTGTTTTCTATCCTATTACAATAACAACAACAACAAAAAACCCTTCCAGTCAGAGGGGAGGCCGAGAGTGAGAGTAATGTTTATGAAAAATCTACAGCTTCTCTTTTATTTGAGCCACATGGACCATTTTAGCAGTTCCAGGCAGAGAGAAAGGCATAAAAACAACATCAAGCCAATAACAGAGAGCCCACTGGCCTGAGCGCCAGCTATTGTGACCATTCACTTACCGTCTCACAGTTTGGTTAGCAAAACCTACGTGAGCCATAAATCTTTACTGCTGGCTTTGTGTCCGGTCTACGTAGCATCTCAACGCTCGGACGGGACAGAGCAAAGCTAGGGCTGGGTCTGCCTCCTCCTGGGGCAGCGCTTGCAGGCTCACCACCTGATCCCTGAAGGGAGTAGTGGGAACCTTGGGCACATAGCCGGGCCGGGGCATCAGGATTATCTGGGAGTCAGCCGGCCCAAACTCTAGGCACGAATCGTCGACCGAAAATGCGTGCAGGTCCCCTACCCTCTTGATGGAGGCAAATGCAAGCAGGAGCAGAGTTTTCATTGAAAGAAACTCTAGCTCAACTGACTGCAAAAGGCTCAAATGGGCCCTGCTGTAGTGTTTTAAGCACCAGAGACAGGTCCCAAGAGGGTATAGAGGGGGGCCGGGGGAGGATTTAGCCTTCTCGCCCCCCTAA